TTGCAGGTTCAACCCCTGGTCGGGGCGCATATAAACATCAACCAACGAAAGCAGGAGTACGTGGAACAACAAGTCAATGTTTCTCTCTCTCCCTTCCTCCCTATCAAATCAATACATTTACAAAGAAGGTGGAGCAGAGAACACCTGGAGGCTCAGGCACCGTGCCGAGGCCGACCCTACGTGACAGAGCTGGGATTCTGATACGCACAGCCTTCCGACGGGACGAGACGCGGTCCTCCGGGCAGGTGGCAGCTGAGCAACAGCCCCCACAAGTGTCTGCCCGAACCCCGGAACCTGTGCCTGTTACCTTACGTGGCAAAAGACGCCCTGCCGATGTGATTGAGTGAAGGACCTTGAGATGGGAGATGATCCTGGGCTCTGTGGGCCGGGGGGATCACGAAGTCCTACAAAACAGAGGAGGAAGGTCAGGAGGGGCAGCGGCAGACCTCACAGTGGAAACGACATGATGGAAACTGGCGGAAGGGGTCGGGAGCCAAGCACGTGGGCGGCCTCCAGAGCCGAGAAGGCCCGGAACAGACTCCCCGGGGAACCCCCTGAAGGAAGCAGCTTGCGACACCCTGGTTTTAGCCCTGTGAAATGGGATTTGGACTTCTGACCTTCAGAACCGCAAGAGAATAAATGAGTGTCGTCTCGAGCCATTTTGTTTGTGGTGATTTGTTACGACAGCCCCAGGAAACTCCTACGTATTGGACAGATTTTTCCAACAGAGTCCTCCACTGGCTCGGAGCGGCCTGGAAAAACTGACCGGGGAACGGGCCAACGGAATGGATGACCGTGGGCTCTGTGGAATAAATACCCTCAAGTGATAGCATGCTTCCATTTCTGAGTTCGGCAAATATTTATTTGAGCGACCGACGTCAGGCGCTGTGACAGTTAAGATGTGGAAAAACATATGCTTTCGTGCAGTGAGCTCCCAGACCAGGAAGGAAGCAAAACAGAGCCCACAGATCTCGGGGCCTGAAGCGGAATTGCACGTCCTGAGGCCCCGGACCCAGGGGAGAGTGAAAAGGGGAGATGGCACCTGCGGGAGGAGCCCCAGGGAATCGGTGGAAATCAGCCTGGATTTTGGCTGCTGGAGCGCAGGGGTGGGGCAGACCTCGGACCAGTAAATGCATTAGTGCTGGGACTGAATGGTGTGCGGAGTATAGGAAGAAACAAAGTATCCACAGGGCTCCTTAGTATAGGAAGAAACAAAGTATCCACAGGGCTCCTTAGTATAGGAAGAAACAAAGTATCCACAGGGCTCCATCTATCCCAGTGGGGGGTCTTGGAACGTATCCCCTGCAGATGAAGGGGATGATTTCAGCCCTGGCCAGTGTGGCTCAGTGGTTGGGTGTTGTCATGTGCACCGAAAGGCTGCCGGTTGGATTCCGGGTACGGGCACATGCCCAGATTGTGGGCTCCATCCCTGGTGGGGGGTATGCAGGAGGTAGCTGATCGATGTTTCTCTCTTCCCCTCTCTAAAAAACATCAATTAAAAAATCTTTTAAAAAAGTGGTCTCATGGCCCTGGCCGGTTTGGCTCAGCGGTTAGAGTGTCGGCCTGCGGTCCAGAGAGACCCGGGTTCAGTTCCCGCTAAGGGCTTGTACCTCGGTTGTAGTTTGTCTCCGGCCCCTGTTGGGGCGGCAGCCACTTGATGTGTCTCTCTCAAATCGATGTTGCTCTCTCTCTTCCTCCCTCTCTCCCTCTCGCTCTATCTGAAGATAAGTGCAAAAATGTCCTTGGGTGAGGATAAAAAAAAAGGTCTCATGGGAAATAGAGTTGAACTTGAAAAAAGAAAACAAAAAACGGGGTTGGGGGACGAGTGTGTTGCAAACGGCACACGCAGGCCCTTACCTGTCTCCTCGAGCACGGCAGGAAGCTCCCTTGGACGGGCGCTCTGAGCAGGGCCCACTGAGTCAAGGGACTGTCCATCTGTGACGTTGAGATGATGCCTAACACTCTGCAGGGCCACCGCCCCACGTCCACCAGCAAGGGGAGTTCCTGTCTCCCCACAGCCTCCGTCAAGCGGCGTTACCACACTCCGTAAATCTCAGTGACACAGTGACATCCTGTTTCAATTACCAGTGAGGCCCGGCCTCTTCTGAGACACCGCATGCCATCCGACTTCCCACGGATCGACGATTCAAACCCTCCACTCATTTATCCAAGGAGCAGTATTTTTCTTATTGATTTTTATGACTTCTTCATAAATTCTGGACACTCTCTGAATACGACTTTGCTGGGAATCTAAATTGCAAATATTTCCTGCCATTTTATGAGTTGTTTTTTCCCTTTCCTTAAGCCTTTTTTTTTAGTGAGTTTGAACATATCAGTATTTTATCTCATCTTTCGCTCTCTTTGTGCCTCTTTTAAGAAATCCCTCCTAACTTGACTTCATAAATCCATTTTCCTAGTATTCCCCCCCAAATGTTTTACAGATACAGCTTTTTAAGGTTCGGCTGTCTCCACCCACGCGGAAGTGTCTTCGTTTCCGTACACTGTATTCTGCGTGTGGTGTAAGACCCGGACACAGGTGTTTCATTCCCTCTGGGCTTCCCCCACACCAAGGAAAAGTCTCCTTGCGGAACATGTGTGTGTATTCCTAGGGTCTCTGCGTCCGGTCCCACAGGTCTGCGCCCCCGTCTCCGCCCTTTACACTGAATGCCCCCCAGGGGCCCGCAGGTTCCACTTTTACCCTCTCCAAGATCGACCCCGAACTCCAAGGGGTTCGGTCCACGGACCGTCCGATTACAAAGTTGGCCTGGGCGAGTCACTGTTCAAAGTCATTTTTACTCGAATGGAATTTTAAAAGGCTGTTACATTTGTTACACGTGTACACAACCGACTTAATAACCATTAGTCATCGAGAACGTTAAGGAGATACAAAGGAGATGGATGCACAGCACCTTTCACAGCCAGAAGAAAAGTCAGCAGAGAGAGGGTTAAGTGCTGAAACCGTCCACGGGAGCTCTTCTGTGAACCCTCCCGTCGCGGAAGGAAAATGAGATTGTTACGAGAAGCGGTGGTCCTGTGCCAGCCACCTTCACGGTCAGCAACCGGCTCTGGCCACGAACCCTGGGCACACGTGAAAGGGGCTCTGCACGCGGCCCCAGGACCGGGCAGTGCAAAGCAGGGACAGCAGGTGCCCGCTGAACAAGACGAGGGTTTGGGAGAGGGGGGAGGGAAGGGGAGACCCAAGGTAGTGAGGACACAAGCTAACGGCCAAACCCACATCTTCTGGTAGAACAAACAGCGTTTGTCCCGTGACCTGTTGCTGCCCAGGGCTGTCAGGTAACCGCCGGCCTTGCTAAGGGGACAGGTCCTCACTGTTAGCGAGCAGGTGGGTGAGGAGGGTGACAATCGCGGTCATGTCCCGGCCAGAGTGCGGACACGGACGAGACACTGCTCGTCTCCCGGGGCCTCCTCTCGGCCACGGTGAGCTGGGCTCTGACAGGCTCACGGGGGCTGATCTGGGGGGCACACAGCCTCCCTACGGGCACAGATACAGACGCTGGCTCTCGGTCACCCACAGATCCTCAGCTCCAGTACCGACACTTGGGTTCTCCACACCCCACTGGGTTGAGTTTAGGTGACAGGGGGTGAAAGGCCCGAGAGGAAGACCCCCTCTTCCCTCCGCGGCCCAGTGCCCAGAGCAGACACAGCACACGGCCAGCGGGTCACCCGAACGGGCCACCTCAGAAAACCCCCAAGTTCCCTCAAAACAAAACAAAACAAAAACAGAAGGAAAAACAAACACAAAAGCCCCAAACTTCCCCACAGTCCGTTTTCATTTTACGGAGACACCGCTGTTTGACCCAAACGCTGTTTGGGGCCCTTGTTTTTTTTGTTTGTTCTGTTTTGTTTTGAATCATTGTGCCCACCTCGGGGCCAGCTGCGGGCGGCGAGGCGGAAGCCCCGGGCCTGATATGCCGGGGAGAGCTGAATGCCTGCCTCCTGCCATCTCGCCTGAAGCCAAAGGCCCGAGGGAGACCAGGCACCGCCCGGCCGCACCGGGCCACCGGCCCTATGGACAAAGGATGAAAGCCAAGCTGCCCTGGAGACTGAAGTCAGCGTTATTCTTGAGTCAGGTGACAGTGCTGCTGACCAAGGGCATCCGCCCCGCACTACACCTACAGGTGCAGCTCCCCACGCAAGCTGGGCCCACGGGGTGCCAGGCAGGGCGGGCGTGGGGCTCACCCCTAAACTGTCCCCACAGTCACTGAGCAGATTGCACCCCCTCCCCCAAGGCTGATCCTGGGAGACCACCTGGCAGCACAGGACTGGAGGCCCCATCAACCCCGTCCTGTTCACACCTCTGCACAAGGGCCTCTGGGACCCCCCAGCATGGTCGACTCTGGTCAATGGAGCCAGGAGGAGAGACACCAGCCCGACGCCCGGGGGCCTGGGCCACGCTTCCTGCAGTCAGGGTGCTGCTGAGCGTGGGGTGGGGGCCACACCTCAAGGCTCACTCGGGACACACCCTGGACTCGGGACACTCACTCCGTCCACACAACAAACACGGTACCACAGAACTCACGTCACGCCACACAGCACACGCCCCACTTACAAGAGGCACCCAGGCCTGGTGGGGGCAGAAGGCCACCTCCACCTGTCCCTGTGCTCACCTCCCCGGCCACTTCCGGCGCCGCTGAGCCCCACCCACCCACGGAAGAAAAAGGCAAGAAACCTGGTCCCAGCTGCCTGGACAGGCCTGGCGGGGGGCGGGGGGGTGCTTGGGGGCTCTGGGCTGTAACAGCACATTTTCTAAGTAAAAATTGCCTACGACGAGATTATACACAACCAGAACTGCAGGACCCAGAGGCCGTGCCTTCCCGGGACACAGATACAACACAATAAATACAAAGGACCCCACTGTCTACCAGGGCTCCGGGCGGCGGCCGAGCAGCCAAGGCTGCAGCTTGGGGCTGAGCAATGCCAAGCCTGGGGCACTCGGGGGATGAGGTGCCTCCGGCTGGGGGGTCCTGCGGCAGGGCACGTGGGGGTGAGGGTCGGCCCCTCTCAGGTGGGTGTCCCTGCCACAGCCCGGGTGGCACCGTGCACAGGAAGCATCGCTCTGCCTGTGGCTACTCAGAAAACGGCGGGAACATGCCCAGGTCGGCGAAATCCTCGATGTTGTAGTTGCCCGTCCCCTGAGTCGGGTCCCCCGGCATGGGCAGCATGTCCTGCAGGAGACAGACAAGGGAGTGCAGGGGAGTCAAGCGCCTGCTCACCCCACTTCCCCTCACGATCGCGTCTCTAAGGGGGGCAGCCCAGGAACGGCCCCCCGGACGCTCTGCAGGGCTCCTCAAGGTCTGAGACCCTGAGAAGCCCTCTCTCCTGGGAGCGGTCATTCCCACAGGTAAGTACACCTGCAGGACACAACCTCTGCCTGTTTAAGGCTGAGCCAGGACACAGGGTGGACAAGAGCCCTACTGCGGGGAGACCAGCCTGGCTCTGGGCACGAAAACACCGTCCATGATCACAATGCGGGAAGGGGGGTGGGATGCAGCGACGGGAGGGGCAGAGGACTCCGTGGCCCTCTTAACAAGTCCTTCCAGTTCTCTGGGCCTCAGACTACCCATCCAGACAATGGGAGTGACCATGGGAGTGACCATGTTTCAGTCCCTTATGGCAAATGTCCCAAAGCACGTTCTGTTGGCCTCTCAGCCCAGGAGATGCTCTGGGAGAAGAGAATTCCATGGACAGATAAGTTTGAGAAACAAGGCCTGTTTACCTTCTTCAGTCCTCATTCGTGTAATAAAGGCTCTGATAAGTCCTGCAGTCAAGAAACGGAGTGACTGTTTAATCCGTGTTTCACAAACCTATTGGACCAAGGATTCTTTTGAAGACCGTGACCAGGAAGAGCCAGGTTAGGGAATTCCATCCTGCATGGCTGCTGGGGGCGTACGGGTGGGCAAGGCCGAGCTTTTCATCAGAGGGAGGGGACGACCACTGCAGGCCGGGCTCGGGGCTGGGCGAGGTGCGTCTCTGCATATTGAAAAGGATGCTGCCCTTCGGAGACCGGGCGGGACATCTGGGTTCTGGACCCTGGTCTGGGAAGATGCTGCTTGACCTGATGAAAGGAGCTCAGGGTGCGGGTGGGGTTGATGGACCGCTGGGCTTTGAAGGGGGATTGTGGTCCTGGGCCTCCCAAACCTGCCGCATGTGCCTCCTGCCCCATCCCTGCTTTGCAAGGCAGGCCCGGGCTGTTAGCAGGTGCTTCTCCCTCACGCAGACCGCGCGGAAGGGACCAAGGGCTTGGCTGCGGGGCAGGCGGTGGGCTCAGGCCCCCACTTGGAGCCTTGTCCTAGTGGGACTTTTCTGGAGCCCAGGGGGCACCACGGAGGCCGAGTCCTGCTCTGCGGGCTGCCGGCTGTGTCCACCAGGGGCACCGGTAGGCAGCCTGACCCCAGGGCCGGGCCAGGAACACCGCACACAGCCCTGGCCCCTCTCATCGGGGCCACGACTCGACTCACAGCGGCGGCGGCGGCGGCGGCGGTGACGGGGGGGGGCAAGGAGCAGAGGGAGGGCGCGGCCACCGGATGTACCTGGAACACCTCCGTCTGAGCCGGCTGCTGGTGCGCGTGCTGCTCCCCGCTCTGCTGACTGTGGTGCTGACCCTGCCACTGGGTCCAGACTTCCGCGGGGCGCCCTTGGAACTGCCCGCTGCTCTGTCCGCTCTCGGCTGAAAGATCCAAGCGACAGGACACCGTCAGGGGGGACTTCCTCAGCCCTCCTTCCTGCTGGGGCCTGGACCGCGCCCCCCACAGTTGCATGCTGAAACCCTAATCCCCGGGACCTCAGAATGTAGCTGGATGTGGAGTCAGGGCTTTTAAAGAGGCGATGAAGGTAAAACGAGGTCACTAGGGCGGGCCCTAAGCCAACAGGACTGATGTCCTTAAAGGAGAGGAGGGAGGGCAGACAGAGGGACAGCCACGTAGGACACAGGGAGAGAACCGCCGACTCCCCGCCAAGGAGAGGCCTCGGGAGGAGCCCACGCTGCCGGCGCCCTGACGTCGGACGTCCAGCCTGCAGGACTGAGCAGCAGTGCTGGCTGTTCAGGTGCCCGGCCCGCGCAGCCCCAGCAAACAACGCTCTCCCCCAGCTCGGCGTCCACCCCCGCCCTTGGCACCAGTCTGGTAAATCCCTCCTCCACCAGCAGCTCTGCCTGTCTCTGCAATCACTCCGCAGCCACGCCCGGCGTCCACGCCCAGCCCAGCGGGCATCCGGAGCTCGCGCCCCAACCTCCCCGGGCATCAGCACCACCGACCACCCTCCCCTTGCAACCAGCGGCCGACTTCCAGGACGACATCCTCCCGCAGTCCTCCGTGCTCCCTGGTCTTCCGTGCGTCTGTACCGTCGCAGGACCGACAGCAGGGCTGGGAGTCAGGCCCTGCCCTTTGTCAGCAGACGAGACACGGGGGCAGCCTGCGAACCACGCACTTGGCAGACAGCTGCCGAGCTCCTACTCCAGCCCCAGCCCCTGTGGGTGCAGCCGACTTGTAATAAACAAACACACCTTCTCTCACCTGTCCTCCCCCGACAGCCGGGGACAGGGGAGGGTGGAGGGGATGGTGATCAGAGGAAGGTTAGTTAGCCCTCTACTGTTCTCTCCGAGTGCGTGAACCTATTAATTACAGGTACGAGTAAAAATTCATAAACTTCTGGGAAGAAAAATGCTCTTCTTACATGTGTGCATCAAAAAAACAATTCATTGCATAGCCGGTGTGGCTCAGTGGTTGAGCATCGACCCTGCACCAAGAGGTCGCTGGTTCGACTCCGGTCAGGGCACATGCCCAGGTGGTGGGCCCAATCCCCAGTGGGGGGTGTGCAGGAGGCAGCCAGTCACTGTTCTCTCTCATCGGTGTTTCTCTCTCTCTCTCCCTCTCCCTTCCTCTCTCTCTAAAATCAATAAAGAAAGCAATTTTTTTAAGAAAAAAATTCATTGCCCTGGCCGGTTTGGCTCAGCGGTTAGAGCGTCGGCCTGCGGTCCTGAGAGACCCGGGTTCGGTTCCCGCTAAGGGCGCGTACCTCGGTTGCAGTTTGTCCCCGGCCCTGGTCGGTTGTGCGGGTGGCAGCCACTCGATGTGTCCCTTTCACATCGATGTTTCTCTCTCTCTCTCTGTTTCTCTCTCCCCCCCACTCTACCTGAACAAAAAATGGAAAAATGTCCTCAGGTGAGGATAAAAAAAAAAAAAAAAAAAAAAAGAAAAAAATTCATTAACTGGCTTTAGAAATAGCATAAACTAGCCAAGGGCCGAGAAAAGGACTTCGTATTTTTGAGTGCTTCCCACACAGTATTTCCTTTCCTCTTCACTCTGAGAGCTGGATCCATGGCCCACACTTTTCAGACAAGGAAACTTGGGCTCAAAGCAGTCGAGAAAGTGGACCAATGCGCCCTGGCCGGTTTGGCTCAGCGGTTAGAGCGTCGGCCTGCGGTCTGGAGAAAGTGGACCAATGCGTCCGAGAGCCAGGGCTCGACCTAGGGGCTCCTGCCACGGACACAGCGCGTGTGCCCTCCATAAGCTGTTTCTCTGGCACACTCACTGTGCACCTGACGCAGCCGTGAGCTGGAAACACTGGACCGGACGCAGGCGGGATGGCGGAGGCGGCGGCTGAGGGCGGCCTGCGGTGTGGGAGGACCGGCAGCGGACCTGACTCGACCTCCTGGAGGAAGTCCCACCACTGGCCGCACGATGCGAGGGCTCCAGAGTTCTCCTTCCAGCCCCTGCCACCGAACTATTTTTTTCTGACCTGCATTAGTGACCTCGCTGACGGAATAATGAGTAATCACCGCAACACAATCTCTCCTGGACACAGGGCATTGTGGGGCCTCAGCCGAAACCTTGGCCGGCCTGACCTGCACGGAACGGGGGCGCACACTGCCCACTCCCCAAGGTGCACCCACAGCCTCCTCCTGGAACAGCCCAGTGGGTGGCGACGCTTTTTATCTTTCGCTCTGTTGGCTTCCTGAGCAAAGTCTCGGCCACTGCACGCTGGCTGGAGGCAGGCTGCCTGGGTCCAAACAGATCGATCAGGCCGCCGCCACGGGGCCAACTGGGAGGGCTCTCTGACCACAGGTCAGAAGTGGAGGAGCTCGTGGGCTCCTGGGGTGTGCAGGCAAGGGGGTGACACCCTCCTTCTCAAAACCACTTTCTCACTGGTGCCCCCGCTAGAACCCCACTCCTGCTCACTAACGTGTTTCCTCGCGAGGTTCCTGTGATTGACAAACTGGTCAAGTTGGGTTTAGCTCAGTGGTTCTCAACCAGGGGTGACTTTGCCCCCCAGGGGACATCTGTGACATCGAGAGACACCTACTTCTCATTCATAAACAGAGGGGTGCTAGCAGGCAGAGGCCGGGGATGCTGGGTAACGCTCTAGACCAGCGGTTCTCAACCTTCCTGACGCCGCGACGCTTTGACACAGTTCCTCGTGTTGTGGCGACCCCCAACCATTAAATTATTATTATTATTATTATTTTAATCCTCATCCGAGGACATTTTTCCATTTTTTGTACAGACAGAGTGGGAGGGAGAGAGAGGAAGAGAGAGAGAGGGAAACATCGACGTGAAAGGGACACATCGAGTGGCTGCCACCCGCACGACCAACCAGGGCCGGGGACAAACTGCAACCGAGGTACATGCCCTTAGCGGGAACCGAACCCGGGTCTCTCCGGACCGCAGGCGGACGCTCTAACCACTGAGCCAAACCGGCCAGAGCCATTAAAATATTTTTGTTGCTACTTCATAACTGTAATTTTGCTACTGTTATGTCTTAGGCGACCCCTGTGAAAGGGTCGTTCGACCCTCAAAGGGGTCGTGACCCACAGGTTGAGAACCGCTGCTCTAGAAGAACAGGACAGTCCCCAGAGCAGAGAACGAATTCAACCAAAACGTCAACAGAGCGGAGGCTGAGAACCCCTGCTGGACGCCAGCAAGGAGCCCGCAGGGGCAGCTGGACAGGGGACTCCCTGTAACTCTCCGCCACATCAAGGATCGCGAAGTCCCCACCGTCTCCGGCTACGACCTCACCTTTTCATCCCTAACGGGTGGGGTGGGAAGGTCTGTTCAATTCCCCAAACCTCGCTGGTGCTGCCGCACAGGGCTGAGTCCGGGGCAGGACCTGGGATGGGCCCAGCAAGGGGTGTGCAGACATTTCAAGTGTTAGAAATCCGCCCCTTTCCTCGCTGTGCTCAGCTCACCCGGCTCCCACGTCTCTAATTATTCATCCTGTTTGTCACCAAAAGAACCTGCGGACAATTTCGGACTTTCCACCGTCCAGAGTGAACCTGTTGGGCCGGGCGGGGCCAGCTGGGCTGGACGCGGGCTTTGCAGGAGGGGTCTCTGTGTTGTGGTTGTTTCCTGAGCTTTGTGAAGGATGCTCATCCTCAGAGTGTTATCTGTTGTGACTTGTGTCACGTGTGAATTAAATGCCTTGACCGCCTCTCCTTAAACTGAACGGGAACGTGACTAAGGCAGTTGCTGTACCTGACACATGATGATAAGGTAACAACAAGGTAACGCAGACCCAGCCCAGGTAACAACGTAATGCAAATTCAGCCCAGTTAACAATGTAACTCAGACTCAGCCCAGGTAACAACGTAACGCAGACTCAGCCCGGGTAACAACGTAATGCAGACTCAGCCCAGGTAACGTTACTCAGACTCAGCCCAGGCAACAATGTAACGCAGACTCAGCCCAGGTAACGTTACTCAGACTCAGCCCAGGTAACAATGTAACGCAGACTCAGCCCAGGCAAAAATGTAACGCAGACTCAGCCCAGGTAACGTTACTCAGACTCAGCCCAGGTAACAATGTAACGCAGACTCAGCCCAGGTAACAATGTAACGCAGACTCAGCCCAGGTAACAACGTCACGCAGACTCAGCCCAGGTAACAATGTAACGCAGACTCAGCCCAGGTAACAACGTAACGCAGACTCAGCCCAGGTAACAATGTAACGCAGACCCAGCCCAGAGAGGATGAACACTCTGAGCTTCTGAAGTCGGCTTTGAGGGAAACGCAGCAGGGACATTCAAACGCCAAACACTAGAACCCGCTGCAAGTAAACAGGATTCACGCTGGAGGGACAGCTGAGTCCTACGGAGGGACGGACGCTGCACTCCAGGACCTCGGGCTGAGGGGGCAGAACGATGCTGGGGGTAGGCACAGCGAGTTCCTAAGGCTGACAGAGCTGAAACGGAAGCTCAGATGTTTGGGCTCAGCTTCCGGCTACCCAGGAAATGCCCTGAGCCCCACTTAGATACCACCCAGTGTCAGCGCTGACAGACGCCAGCACCAGCTCAGGCTTGAGCCACGGGTCCCTCGGCTCCTCCTGTGTGGAACCGAGCCTCCGAGCCTCAGCAGGGAGAGGTGCTTGGGGGCTCAGGAAACAGAAGGAGTGAGTAGCAGCCCTGGTCGGGTCGTTCAGTGGTTACAGCGCCGTCCCATACACCAAGGCTGTGGGTTCGATCCCGGGTCAGGGCACATGCAAGAATCAACCAGTGATTGCATCAATGAGTGGAACAACAAATCAATGTTCTCTCTAATGAGTTTAATAAAAAAGTGAGCGACAGCTGGGGCTCCTGGGACCCGCAGCTGAAGGAGGTTCCTGAACCCTTCACTGCCTGAGGTTTCGTTAGCAGAGCTGGAAAAGTTGTGCTTATAGGGGACAGGCTCCCTCTTTTAATATTAAAAAGAGAGAGGACGCTACAGTATTTACTGTTTACACCATTGGGCAGCCGGTAACTAGTCTCCAGGCTTTTGAAACGAGACTCTAGGGCTTTATGACTTGGACGTCCTGAAAGTCCTGGCCAAGGGCTACAAAGGGTTAAAATAGCATCAGAGGATGTCAGGGTGGAGGAACAGTGTCCCAGGTCTGGACCTTGGGAGCCTCCATCCACAGAGCCCAGGTCTAAGCAGCCAGTCTCTCGGGCAACCAGTGATGTTTAAACCTCTGGACCCCGTGCCGAGGTGGGTTCCGAGAGTGTGGGGCCCGAGCCCCGCCCGAAACTCGGGATGTTCGAAAGGCATCGTTTCACACTCTCTCAGGAATTCGTGCCCCGGTCCCCCCACCTACCGAACCCCGGAGTCCTGTTGGCCAGGCTGGAGTAGGCGTTGCCGCTGGGCGAGGAGGTGGCCGGGCTGGAGAGCGGGCTGTAGGAGGAGGGGTCGGCCGGGTAGGTGTGGCTCGTTCCAATCCCGAAAGGGGACGTCTGCGTTTTGCTGGACTGAGAGGACATTTGCTACATTCAGGACAAAGTGAAGAGATGGGACACACTGCTAGCCGGTCCTCGCCCCGTGCCCAGGCTGGTCACCACCACCCACAAGTACGGGCGAAGCAGCCGGGCTTGCTCTGGGCGGACGGCACCCCTGGCCCTCCTGGCCGGCTGGGCACAAGCCTGAGACCGGGTCAATGTGTACGGGCCCGAGTTGCAGGGCTTGGATCTTGGGGCAAGTCAAAGATCACCCTCCGGTGACCCGGGTCCTCTGGCTTCCCGCGCACCTTGAGCGCTGCCTCGGCTCAGGGCCCAGCTGTGCTCAGAGCCGGGGTCCGAAGACACACATGCCATGGGGGTGCCCTGCTCTCGGCAGCCACGGGCAGTGCCCGCAGGAGGCCCGTACCTGTCCGGGGAAGGGTGGCCGGCTCCCGGTCCATGCCACCTGACCCTGGTTTAGCTGCCGCGAGATTTGGGACATGTTCTGGCCCGTGGACGAGGACGACTGGATGTCGTTTACCCCAGGCACGTGGACCACTGAAGAGCTAGAAGAAAATAAAATGCATTTGCCCCGGGACACCCCGCCCAGCACGTGCCCTTGCCTGGACCTTCCTCCCCACGACCCTCCCCTCTCTCTCCACAGGAGACACCCAGAATCCTCGTAGAATAAAAATCAGCCTCGATGCTAAGTCCCTGCTTTGCGCTCTGGTTAACTCATTCCTTTGGGGCTCCTGCAGGGATTCAGGATTCAGAACTAGGCCGAGGGCTGTTCGCCGGGTCGGTTGGAGCAGAAAGACGAGCCTGTGAGTGGAAGCTGGACCAGCCTGACCTACCGGAGCACACTGGTGGCACCTCTCTGTCTCCCTCCGCCGACCCTCGAGCTAATTTAATGCGTCTTTATTAGGCACCCACGGTGTGCACCACGGGGCTCTGCCGTCCTTCCGCAGGCTGGGTCTCTGACTGCTGCCTTGGCCCTGGGCACATCCCCCCAGAGATCTCCCCAGCTCTGCCCGCTATATGCTATGCTCCTTACAGACGGGATGGGCTTCCACGTGGGGTCTGGCCGCCCCTCCTGCCTCCCTGGTGCAGCTCAGCAGGGCAGCGTGCTGGGTGCCCGTGAGCGGCTCCAGTGGGAGGGGGCGGGGCCAGTCACCGCAGGGGCGGGTGGCGGTGGACCTTTGGCAGAATTTGAGGGCGGGTTACTGACCACAGAGAAGCTCAGGCACAATGTTACTCTGTATTGCAGTATTTTTTCTATGCTATAGATTTATATTAAAACAGGGAGGACCACCCTGGCCGGTTCACTCAGCGGTTAGAGCGTTGGCCCTCAGACCAGGGAGGTCTGGGTTCGGTTCCCGCTAAGGGCAGGTACCTCGGCTGCAGTTTGTCCCCGGCCCCGGTTGGGGTCGTGTGGGTGGCAGCCACTCGATGTGTCTCTCTCACATCGATGTTTCTCTCTCTCTCTCCCTCCCGCTCTATCTGAAGATAAATGCAAAAATGTGCTCGGGTGAGGATTAAAAAAAAAACAAACAAACCAGGGAGGACCTAAAATGTCAGGACATCACAGCCATCTCCTGGGTCCTGCTCAGCCATCTGGGGACCTCTGCAGTCCACGCTCCGGTTTCCCCAGCAGGTCCTGGAGCCAGGCTTTGCCTCCGGTGTGTCACCAGGGCTTCCCCAGTGAGCCAAAGGGGTCCAAGGGCCGAGGACCACGCCTGCCGGTGCCCGAGCCTCTTTCAGCTGCGACCCCAGGACGAGGAGCCCGCCGTCCTCTCCTCCCGGGACAAGGCTGTGGCCTCTGAGACCCAGGGGACGGGGCACCTCCTGCTCCCTCGTCAGGTCTCGGCAGCTCCGACCCATCCAGGTCCCAGCTGGAGGCCACTCGGTCCCTCTCCCTGGCCCCTTTCGCATCTGAGAAAGTAACTGACACCGCGTCTCTATGGCAACCCGCGGAGGGTGCAGGGCAGACCCAGAGTCGCCAGCGTCCTCGGCCTGGCCCCGGCCTGCACGAGCCCAGCTCTGAGCCTGGGGCTTCCCTGGCCCCTCCCGGCACGTACCTGAAGGCCTTGCCCGAGTGTCCGGCGGGGAACGGGCTTCCCTGGGGGTAGATCTGCTGGGTCCCTGCTGCAGAGGCTGAGCTCATCATCTTCTTCTCGGCTGGCAGAGCAGAACGAGGGTCACTGCCCGCGGCCCGGCCCTCGAGGGGCTGTCTCTCGAGGGCCAGACGGCGACCGCTAACCCCACGTGGAGCACCTGGGTGCCGTCCGACCACTTACATGCTCCGATCCCTGCGAACATCTCAGCGAACCGCGGGTCCCTCTCCTGGGAAAAGATTGCATCCGCCTTTTCCACGGACTTCCCGGCCTCGTGCACACCGGCCGGCAGGGTGGGGACGGGGACCTGTTTGCACATCAGACACACAGCACCCCTCGTGTGAGGCTCGGGGTGGGGGGCACCAGAGGTCACCGAAAGGACAACGGGGTCGCACAGATGACTCAGAGAGGTAGACGTAATCCACGTACTCTAGATATCGGGAAAGGTGAACTTAAAGTTTAATTTCTTGACTGGTTGGTTTTACTTCACTATTATTTTTTTGAATCCTCACCCGAGGATATTTTTCCAGTGATTTTTTTAGATAAAGTGGGAGGGAGGAGGGAGAGAGACATCGATGCGAAAGAGACACATCGATTGGTTCACTCCTGCCCCACCTCTAGTGGGACCGAGGATGAAACTGCAACCCAAGTACATGCCCTTCACCTGGATCAGAATCGAACCTGAGACCCTTTGACCAAGGGCCAACCGATGAGCCAAACCGGCCAGGGCTATAGATTGATTTGAGAGAGAGAGAGAAAGGGAAACATCAACTCGCTGTTCCATTTATTGACGCATCTATTGGTTGCCTCTTGTATGCGCCCTGACTGGGGATCGAGCCTGCGACCTTGGCGTATGGGGGACAACGCTCTAACCAGCTGAGCTACCCGGCCAGGCCCCAGGAACTCACCTGTGACAGGTCGTAGGAGGACAGCCCGTCGCGCTGGTGCACCTCCAGCTCTGCTTGCTGCTGCTGGAACTGCCTGTGGGCGAGAGGCCGAGTCACCTCGCGGCTGCGCCACACCTGCCCCAGGCCCGCGGCGCAGCACCCGGTGGGCGCTTCCGTGTCTATTCTCGTCGATGAAAACGCCCGAATCACGACTGAGCCCCGGGTGGTACGTTTAGGCCGCTGCTCGGCCGGAAGTAAGTGCTGCTTTATGGCTTCGCTCTGCGCGGGGCGGACAGACGGAAAAAGGAAAGACGTCCAGACAGAGGTTCAGGCAAAAGTTCTGCCTTCCGGATGGCCGTCGGGTTTACGCAGAGCGAACGTCGGCCACCGACTGCCAGTTTCGGGGAGCTCGTCCCACCCCCACACGGAGCCCCGCACTGGCGGCCTCCACCCGTGTCAGGACGACCAGGTGGCGTGGGAAGGGCCAGGGCCAGCAGCACAGAGTCTGTTCTCGTCCTCTGGGTCCCTGCAGCCGACAGCTCCTTCCGCCAGGGGGTCGCGAACAGGTCGCGGGCTCGGCCACACACCCGCGTCCGGACACCGGCATCTCTGCCCACAGCCCTCGCTTCCCGTGGCCGGGACGAGCACATGTGAACCAGTGCTGACCCGCAGCCGCCCGGTCCTGGGAACAGACCCGAGGAGGTTTCTCGGACATTTCACGGCGACAGAATAAAAATAAACCTTGGTGTGCTTGCAAATCCCACAGAGGAGGAAACGCCAGCTCAGGAGAAAGCGACCACAGCCCACGTGAGGGAACCAGGCTCCCACGGCAGCCGGCACTGGGGACGAGCGAGGACGACAGACCACACGGGTCCAGCCCGGCCTCCGGGCACCAGGCAGGCAGGATGCTGGGTGGGTGCTCGGCGGGTTATGCTCAGCCTGGAAGAGCGGGCACGCAGCCATGCGGGGCCGGGGGCACTCAGATGTGGTGTGACTGGGAGACACCGGGCTTTGGCTCGGAGGCGTCTGGGGGCTCAGCAACCTCCGCTGAGCAGAGTGAAGGGGTCGGAGTTGCTCTGCTCAGGGACAGGGAGCGTGAGTGGTGTAGAGCGCGTGCTCCTGGCCCCCTGGTTGGCTCGAGGGGCCGTGCGCAAGGCAGGGGCAGCCGTCCGGGAAGGGCAGGTGCTCACCTGACAGAGGGCCAAGGCCTCCACCCGGGCACGGAGGAGGCGGAGGAGGGATGGGCCAGAGAGCAGCCCAGACAGAACCTGCGGAGCCAGGCCCCGTGTGGGTGTCTCTTGCAGGTGGGTGAGAGGGCGGGACCAGGATGAGGCTTGGTGACAGGGGTTTCAGCTCTGAGCTTGCAGAGACCAGGAAGGAACCTTCCTTTTTCCTTCTTGTCTTCCCCTCCTCCCAGCATCCTGCCCCCATCGGCCAGGTGGGCTGGGCCATCGCTGAGGGCAGGGGGCAGACTGAGGGGCAGCCAGCGTGGCCGCGGGCGTGTGCGTTGTAGGGACACACGCACACCAGCACCACACGCAGCCTCGGTCGTGAAGGCCGACAGTGCGCACGTGCTGGCCCAGGAAAGGGCTCCGCCCAGCGACACTGAGGGGAAACCCCAGCTCACTCCCCACGGACGCCGGGAGAGAACCACACAGCCCTGGGTGGGGCCGACGCAGAAACCCAGGGACGGCTCCTGTCGGAACAGCCCCCGGCTCACCCCCGTCAGAGTGCCGACCCCCGGGCGCCAACACGCAGGAACAATTCAAAGCCCTGCGGCCAGCGTGGGAAACGGGGTCTGTGTCGTCCACTGCCCTGCCCTGAAGTCACTCGGGGACACAGGGCTGTCCACGGAGCAGCTCCCCAGAAATGCCGACCAGTGAACACTTGCCGTCCGGGAAGCTTCCGGAGGACTGAAGGCGGCGGCCTGACTCCTCCGCGGACTTCCCGGCGCAGGGCTGCCTGCTGCTGATGGAGCTCAGGCGGGACAGCGGAGAGGGCCCCGCGCCGCGGCCGCCACTGCCCCCTGCTGCCCGCCGCAGACACTGCCCATCCCGGCGCAGGAGCGGTTTGAGCGGCGCTGCCCGCGGTCCCCCTCACCCAAGGCCTCCCTCTGGTCAGGCAGAGCAAGGCCCCCGCAGGGGGGAAGCCAGGCAGATGGGGTGAACTGGAGGAAAGGGGCAGAAACCTGATAGGAGGCAGCCCTCACCAGGGAGCAGCAAAACACTGCCTCGAAGGGGGAAGTTCCAGAATCCAGCCACGGCCTCCAGTGCGTGATGAGGGGCTTGCCCATTCCCGTGGCTCCCACAGGGGCGGCCACGGTGGCCGGGGAGGGCTCTGACAGGAGACACGAGCCTGGGGACGCACTCCGGCTAACGGGGGCCCACAGACGGGCTGGCACTGCCCCTCCCTGCGGCCTCGTCCCTGGGCCCCCACACCTGGCTCCATGGGGCCGTGAGCACCCGAGGCCCGGAGGGGCAGGGGCCTGAGCCACGCTCGGCACAGGAGGCGGCCACGCCGCGGCGGGATCCTGGGTTCCCTGGAACCACAGCTCCGCCCGGAGCCGGAGGAAAGTGGGCAGTGCGTTCGTGGAGCCCAGGGGACCGGGCAGCCTGGCAGGGACGACTCGACCAGACCTGCCCAGCGGCGGAGGGTGAGGCTCTGCTCCCCCAGGTCACAGGTGGGGCGGTGAGGCTGAGACAGGGAAGGACTCTTGTCCAGCATGGAGCAGGGACTGAACCCCAGGCCACCTGCAGTCGGAGGGGCCTCCCGTGGACCCATCTGTCCAGTCTGCTCGGAGACCAGGACCAGGGCCGAGGCTGAGACGCGGAGGAGGCTGCTGCGTGGGGCCCTGTCACCCCGGGGGCTGGGATACGCAGCCAGGGGGCAGGGGACCGCCTGCCACCTCCTGTCACAGGGACGCGGCCTGCAGGTGAGGAGGGGCGGGCGGCGGGTGGGAACAGACCCTTCTCAGGGCTGCGTCTGGGAACACAGAGCACGGCGGTGCCAACGACCCGTGCGGGGGACAGGACTGTTCCGAGACGGCCGCAGGCTGCGGTCCACCCCCCCACCCCCCGGGCACAGGTCCAAACACCCCACGCACTTGGGCGTCGTTCGACTTTGTGCTACCTCTGGGCCTGTCCGTCCTCAGGGGCCGGTGCAGACAGGAGGCATGGCCAGCCCGTGGCGAGGAGCCGGACCTGTTTCCTGCTCCCAGCAGCCCTAGCAGGGAGGCCTCCCCCACCCACGGCGGGTCTGGGAGCTGATGCCCCAAGGGCATGGCCATGGGAAGCAGCAGAGAGCACGTGCGTCCCTGCGGTGCCCACCCCCAGGCCGAGCTCACTCTGCCCGGCTCAGTGGGCCCAAGACCCAGCATCGCACTCGGGATGGGAAGGGGAACGGGAACCAGGGCTCCCTGGGCCTGGGGGCTACCGATGGGGCCGAGCCATGAGGAAGGACCGGAGGAGGGGACCCGGGCCCTGCTCGGGGCCACACCTACTTGACGTTGGTGTTGGTGCAGATGAGGTACTCGATCTCGTCCGAGTAGGGGTTCTGGAAGGTGAAGCTGCTGGTGCGGATGAGCAGCCACTCGCGGTTCTTCGTGCGGAACCGGTACATGACGGACAGCACCTGGCCCTTCAGCTTCACCACCTGCGGAGACGCGGGGCGGAAGTCAGCGGGGAAGGGCGGTGCGGGCAGGAGGCCGGCCCGGCCCGGGCAGAAGCTCAGACCGTCAAGAGACGGAGGCAGAGCGAGGTGACTGGGTGTTCCGGCCACGGGGACCCCGCCTACGTCCCTGCTGAGACGGGGCCCTGCCTGCCGGCCCGTCTGCCCCCTCAATGTGAGAAACCGAGACAGTGCCCGCTTCCTATCAGGGCCGTTCCGCTTCTGCAAATCAGATCGTGAGAACGCGTCAGCCGGGCGCAGCCTGCCCTGGGGATCCCAGGGGGACGGGGTCTGGTGGGTACGGGGGTGGGTGAGATGCTGCCATGTGGGTAAGGCTCTCCCGGCGGGAGTCGCGGCCTGAGCAAATGTTTGGAGGCCGGGAAACTGAGGGTGTGCAGGCCCCACGCGCCCGGCAGCATCCCACTACCTGCTGGAAGCTCTCGCGCAGGTGGTTCTGGTCCTCAGAGTGGCAGAACTCCAGAATGTCCTTCCCCAAAAGATCCTGCAGAGAGAGACGCTGCCATCGTCCCAAACCCGGGTCCATCCCCTACACACCGCTGTTAGATCACAGCGCTCACGCTCCCCAACCGAAGGGGGCAGTGGGTGAACGTTCCCTGGCACCCCACGGCGCTGGCCGCCGGCCGCCACCCCAACTCCGACTGCCCACTTCGCCAAGTCCTAGGTCCGCAGCGTCAGAATGAGAGTTCACGTCTGCTGGCCTTGGAGAGGCCGACCGCAGCGACCAGACACAGGAGGCAGGAGCAGGAAGGCGCCTGGGGCAACCGGAACCGTCCACACGTGGAAACGGCAGCTCTCCCGTGGCCGAGGCGCTGCGGTCATGACCTCGCTGACCTGCTCAGGGCCCGTGTACTCCCCCCTGCACTCCCCGCTGTCCTAGTCAAAGGACCCCACCCGCACGAGGCGCACCGCCGAAAGGCACCCCCGGCGTGTTTCGGGGAAGTGGTCCCCTGGCAGGGTCTTAGTCGGCAGAGGGTCCGAACGCACCCCTTGGTCAGGACCCAGTTGGCAAGCGGCCCAGCAGGCGCCAACAGTGGACGTGACCGTGGGCAGCAAGTCTTGTCTCGGTGCCAAGGGCCACGCAGAGGCTGTGGGAGATGCCCACGCGTGGACGGGTCTGGCTGGACATGCACCTCCATCAGAGGTTGTGACAAACTTGTAAAGTCATTGTCGCCGTCCTTCCGTCCGAGACCCTCACGAATCCGGGGAGGTTAGAACTGGACGCATGGTACCAGTATTTCAATGGACTGTTGCTAGTTCTAACATATACGAGTAATTAGAAGACCCCTCTCACCCTCGGCGGTGTGCCTCAGTGGTTAGAGCGTCTGCAGACACCCCAAACGGTCTCGGGTTTGATTCCCAGTCAAGGGCACAGACCTGGGTTGCAGGTATTTTTAAAAAAAACTTTTTTTATTTATTGATTTGAGAGAGAGACATAGAAACATCGATGAGAGAGGACATCGACGGGCCGCCTCCTGCATGCCCCCCACTGGGGATCGGGCCCACCACCCGGGCATGCGCCTGACCAGGGATCGAACAGGTCGGTGCAGGGTCGACGCTCAGCCACTGAGCCACACCAGCTGGGCTGTGCTTTACCTTAATCTAGAACAATCTCTCCTTTGGTGCATCTCGTGACACTGACTTTTTACATTTTTTTTAAAAGTCTGGAACAAAGACCCGAGAATGTGCCCCCTATGAAGTGGGTTCCAAATGCCTGTGGGAAATGGGGGGTCAGGCTAAACCAGGCGGACACCTCGAATTCAAGGGGTTTCTGTCTTTCACGTCAATACACTTTGTCGGTTTCCAAGGAGGAGACTTCCTGTTTGGTGTCGGGCGCAATGAACCGGTCTCCCGGCGCATCTTTGCTCAGGCTGGTGAGGTACAGGGAGGTAGAGAGAAGGGCCCGGGCACAGAGAGCATGGGGGGGCCTTAGGGGAGCAGCTGCTCCACTGTCCGTTCTCGTTTGGAAGGACGACACCCCTGCACGCCGGGACACGCCTTTGTGCTGTGTGTCCTACACCGTGATCGCGTGGTTTCTCCCACGGAGGAGACGAGGGTGTTTTAAGGAGGCTGGATCTTGACCGACGGCCGTGGGCTTTCGCAAACGACCTACCTGGGGTTGGTAGCCAATCACGCTGATGCACCTCGGGTCCACGAAAGTGATGATCCCATCCGAGTTGTGGCGAGAAAGGAACTCCGTGGGCACGGACATCCCGCTCATGTCCATACACACGGGGGAGCTGGTCACCTGGGACAGGGACAGAGAAGGGGAACAGTCCTCGTGGACGGAGGTTCCCACAGATCCTTCCCCGTCGTCAGCACAATGGGTCTCACGTGCCGACAGCCCAGGCCACACCTTGGGCAGTGACACTGGACCGCTTCCCTTCCTGAGCCTCAGTCCCCCAAGTCCGTGGGAATAACGAAGGCAGTTTGCTCAGAGGCTGCGCATCAGCCACCACCACAAGGTCGGTGCCGAGACGCGACAACACCTCCCCCACCTGCCCTGTACCCGGGATGGCAGAGGAGACCAAGGGACTGGTCAAAACGTCCAGAAAGTCAGCTTCGGTGGACCGACTTTACCCACACCGCTGCCTGTCTGCAGGGAAAAGCCAATGTCTACCCAACGTGATCAAAACGGCTCAGGCATCTGTCTGAAAACGGCGAGACCCGGGGAACCAGGGACGCGAATCGCGTGGGTCCTGTGCCCCACGAGGGAGGCCCTCGGCGCCACGGGGCCGCGGAGAGCCCGGCGGACAGAGCGAGGCTGCGTCCGACAGGGCCAGCGCGCTGGAGACACGGGCTTCGGCGTGTCTGCTGTTGCTGCAGGGTTAGGGAGACACCTTCCCTGCGCTTTGGGAGCTATGGGAAGGGGGCAGAGCCTGAGCTGCCGGAGGGACCCCGTGCCCAGGCCCCGTGCCCGGAGCACAGTGGGAAGGGGTGTGGATTCCGACTAAGCCGCTGGACGAGACGTTTAGCGGGTCTGGAGGCAGAAGAAAGGGGTGAGTGGGATTCTGGAAGAAGGGGGCCAGGATGACCAGGCAGGAAGAGCCTGTGGACAGGGGCAGGGTGGGCAGAGAGAGAGGAGGGGGTGTCCTGGAGTGGGAGGAAGGAGTGACCGAGGAGCCCTCGCTTTGTCCTGCAGACCACGGGGACGTGTCCAAGGAGACTCAACGGGCAAGATGTGAGCAGGACTCGACTTTGCGCTAAGCGACACGAGTGTGGGGTTGGACTGGTCTGGACGCTCGGTGAGGCGAGGACCCTGCAGCCCCCAGCCCCCTGATCCAGCCCCGCCTTCCCGCAGTGACCCGGGGCACCGTCCCGAGCTCACAGGGGCTCAGGAGACGTGCCCAGACCCGCGGGCTGCTGCCCTCCGGCACGCGGAGCCCTCGCTGCGATGGAAGCGGCCGGAGCCGACCCTCACCTGCAGCCGTCCGATCGCCACCAGGCAGTACTTACTGCCCTGCCCCACGTCGGCATCCTCCTCGGGGATGGTCATCCCTGGAACGAGAAAGGCCGGCGTCACCCACGGCGCGCCCCACGGATGGCGGGGACCGCGGATCCACGGCTGAGCCCTTCGGGTCTGGGCACAAGCCGAGGGACCCCTCCTGCTCCCCTCTCTGCCGGAAGTCTCCGGGTCATTCCGCGGCACAGTGTCACCTGTCCCTGGGCGAGGCAGACGCCCGAGGCAGAGGAAGGCTAGTGACTCCATTTAGGCATTTGCAAAATGTGGCCACAGGATTTTGTTGTGAAAGAAATTTCAGTAAGAGGCCTGGCTGGTGTGGCTCAGTGGCTGAGCGTCGACCCTGCACCAAGAGGTCGCCGGTTCGATTCCCGGTCAGGACACATGCCCAGGTTGTGGGCCGGATCCCCAGTGGGGGGCCTGCAGGAGGCGGCCAGTTGATGTTCTCTCACCGATGTTTCCGTCTCTCTCTCCTTCTCCCTTCCTCTCTCTCTCAAATCAATAAAGAAAAATAATAAAAGGTGGGCTGCCCACACCGGGGAGTTCTCCCGGGCGGCTCCTTCTCCAGCAACGCCAGGAACGCGAGCACGGCAGCTCCGACTCGGACGCCAGAACCCTGCTCCTTGCTCTCCACACAGAGGAACGCGCACCCGATGGCAGAAGTTTAACCCCAAACATGCAGAGACGAAACCCGTCGTTCCAAGTACACGGCCATGAAATCCCGGAAATTAACGTGCGCGTCCCCTCCTTCCCACGGTGGTGAAAGGGGCGTTTTCTGCGTAAACCTGGGGCTGGAGGACAGCGCTCCACTTCCGGCCCCCCGGAACCTTCCCCGGAGGGCGTGGAGGGGCCGCCCCGGGAGAGCCGCACGAGGCACAGAAGGACGTCGGGAAAAAAAGTGGGGGGACAGCGCCCCGGTCTGGGCCTCCTCTCTCCACCAGATGACCGGAGGGGCCGTCACCTTCCCCGACAGGGTGCTGTGTTTCCGTGGACGTTCTCCAGGGGAAACAGGACGACGTGGACCCTCTAACCCGCCCCTTCCCTTGGCAATTGCATTGATTTCAGCTCTCGGATGAAAAGTCCAGAGACAGGATGACAGGCCCCTGCTTGGCTGTGCTCCTGTTTTTAAATTCTAGAAGCTCCATGCTCACCTGTAGAGGGGGCACGCAGGAGGCAGGGCTGCACCTGGTGCTCCACCTGTCACGCACCCCCACTCTGGGGCTTTGGGGCTACGCTGTTACTCCAATGTCCTGGGGGCCCTGAGGACACCTGGCCAACTGGTCACTCCCCACAGCCTGTCCCTCAGGGCCCGGCGTCCTTAGTCTGCTGTCACCAGCATCGCATCCGGTTCTTCTCTGCTGTTCTCCGGGGTCGCCCCTACCTGCCTCGTTACCTTCTGAAGCGCACCTGTTCCCTATTCCCCACCGAGCTCCCTCTGCTCAGCCCTCGGGGGCTGTTGTTTGCGGACGAGGACCCTTGCCCTCGGCCGCCTACCTCTTTCGGGCTCCGGGCTCCGGGCTCCTGTCTCCCAGGCCCGGGTCATGGCCCCCTGGCCCCGTGCCCAGTCTGCTGCCCGGCGCTCACGGTGTCTTCTCCCCACACCCTCACCCAGCCCTGCCCTCCTCCCTGACCGTCGCCTACAGGGTGGCTATCCCCACTCGCCCAGGCACGCCCAGGCCGTATGTGAGCTGCTGCTCAAGAAAACCTCAAAGGCTCCGACCCCCGACCACACCAGGTCGCCGTCAGGGCCATTCATTCCACCGAGATCCCAGAGGGCGGTCGCCGGAAAGCGTGTCAGAGCCCGTCGGGGCGAGAAGCTCAGCCCGTGAGGGAGGGGACACGACGCAAGAACGTTTCGGTGGAAGAATAAACCAGCATACTGCTCCGGGCCGGCCTCTCCCGGTGCACACGGGGCTGTTCAGACGTGGCCTGCGGCCCAACCACGGGGAGCCGTGGAGTGGGTTCTCCCGGGCGCGCCCGCTGAGCACCGCAAGGCCCCTCGCGCAGAGGAAAACGCGTGTTTTCTTTCTGTTTGAAATGGTGGTGACCAGATGTCTCTGGTTCCAGGATGCAGTGCTTTCTGGGGCCCCCGTGGCCTTGGGGAGACGGGAATCGGGACGGATACGAGCTGTGGAATGGGAACAGCGGTCGCCCCGCAGGCCCCCCACGTGGTGCTCAGCACACCTGGACCGTGCTCACCGGGACGCCGGAACGGAAGCGCGTCCTTGGCCCTGGTCAAGACAGGCGGCTGCACCGCACTGCCAAGCCGCCCCCCCTCCCTGTGGCCACAGAGCTCCCCCTGGCCGCAGGCTCCGTGTGGGGTCTGGGCTGAGGTCCAGGGCAGGGGCCGGGGCCGGGGTCAGCGAGATGCGGAGTCCCACAGGGCTTCCGGGCCGGCCCAGGGGAACGCACAGTGCTCTCTTTGGCTCTGGCTCTCCACGGGCCCAAACGCCGGGTCAGTTTGGCCATGACAACAGCCAAGTGGGACACAGTTTCTGAGCTCCTACTAAGCACCTGACTTTCTGCTACGGACCCATCGGGGACTTAGCAGTGCAAGGGGCCCGGCTCCTCCCCTCGGGGAGCGCTCGGCTGGTGGGGAAGGACCCTCACGGTGCCATATGGTTAGTGTTAGGGCCGAGCAGAGGCGCGTGGCCAGGGCCGGGGGCCAGGGCTGGGAGGAACAGGCCGGGAGGGGACGCTTCCTGGCAGGGACAGCGAGGTTTATCAAAGTGGTCTTTAATAAGAGTGGGATCATTCCAGCCATTGTAGCAAGATTTCAACAATTCCCTGACCGGTTGCACAAGTCCACGCTGCGGATCCTTGAATCACCTTTTCACCGGCAGTGCCCTTCCCCCGCCAGGTCTGAGCAAACCCGAGTGACAGAAACAGCGCTCCCGCCGAGGGTCACAGGACACTGCTGTTTGTGAAGGACGTGTGTCCCTCCCGAGGGACGCCCCCCCCCTCTGCAAACCCTGCTGGGAAGTCGAGGCCCAGCCAGGCTGGGTGGAGTCGGGCTGGGGCTGATCCTCACATGTGAACAAGGCTGTGTTTTCCTGCACCCCGCCAAGGGCAGGCAGGGGAACACACCACCTTCTGCAGCGAGGAATCCAGGCCACGAGTTCACGGCTTCCAAAGGCCTCCCTGAGGAACACTGCTTTAGACCAAAAACAAAAAGGCTTCTTTGGCCAAACACATGTGGGAAGCGTCGCTTACACAGAGGCGGAGGTTTCACCACCAGAGGTCTTGGCAGAGACTGAACCTGAGACGTGGGAGCAGGACGCTCCTGCCGGAGAACCAGGTGGCGGATCCCCTCACTGCTGATTGCGAACCCTCCTCCGTGGGGGGGTGAGTGTGAAAGCCCTTCGGGGCAGTGCCGCCCTGCAGGTGTCCTGCATTGCACCGTCCCTGGTGTGAGGTTGGGACAACACAAAGGCCCAGCTCCCTGGGTGTGCAGGAGGAGCTGCCCGGGGACATGCGTGGAAAGTCCCCAGCAGGACCAGCTGACGAACGCAGAACGCACGCAGGCGAGGGTGGCCTGAGATTAGCACAGAACGGGGGGCGCGTCCCGAGGGAGAGCCACCTGCACCGCCTCCCCCAGGAGGGGTTTGGTGGCAGAACGCCCCTGCGTCCTGCCAGGTTGCTGGTGACCTGGTCATCTCCCCACCCCACACTGGCCCTCGGGCACACACAGGTGCCCGTCCCCTTGCTCGGGTAACAGTAACACCGGGCATGCCTCTCCTGCTCCTACCAGGGCCTGAAGGACCGTACAGAACCCACATGGCCAGAGACGGAACCATCATCAACTAGCACCAAGGGACACTCAGCGGCCACCCGGCTCGGTGAGCCAGGTAGGAAAACAAATCACACGCATAAGAGAAAGAGAACCGAGTATAGGAACCACAGCAACTGTTTTAACTGAAGAAAAAACTTCCGTTACAAAAAAAAAAAAAAAAATTAAAAGGAGAAAAATAGCTGCATTCAACTACTCAGTGAGGACACGCGATACTTATGAAAAAAATCACAACCTTAATCCCACAAGGAATGAGTTTGGATGAAAGTGTTATTTCAAAAAAAAAACAAACAAAAAAAAAATTAAAGGGGAACTGTGAACAGAAGATTAGGATTGAGAAACTCCCCGAGGGTTGGAAGAATAAGGAAATCAGCCGTGGCCGGTTTGGCTCAGCGGTTAGAGCGTCGGCCTGCGGACCAGTGAGTCGCGGGTTCGATTCCGGCCAAGGGCACGCACCTCGGTTGCGGTTCATCCCCGGCCCTGGTCGGGTCGTGCGGGAGGCAGCCAGTCGACGTGTCTCTCTCACGTCAATGTTTCTCTCTCTCTCCCTCCCTCCCACTCTATCTAATGATAAGTGGAAAAACATCATCAGGTGAGGAATGAAAAAAAAAGAAAAGGAACAAGGAAAGGAAATCAGAGCCGAACGCTCGGTGGGAGGGAGACTGAGTCCAAGACGGAGCTTCCGGGCGTGAGCAGGCGGGTTAGCAAGCCGCAGCCACGCGGGAAAATCTAGACCAGTTTTCCCACGGTGGAGACACGCTTGCGTCGGCAGACCGAGGGGGCCCACGCGGCACCAGTAAAACGCACGGAAACAGACGCAGCCTCGGCATCCCTGAGCAAACGCCAAGGCTAAGCTCGAAGCACCTACACGTCGTCGTGGGGGGAAAGGGAAGGAACGCAGGTCTGGGCACACCCCTGCCACAGCGCCCTCGAGGGGTGACGCGGCGGTGTCCCCTCAGCTCCGACGGAGAACCCCCTCGCCCAGGGTCCTCTTGCAGCCACAGCAGAACAGCAGGACGAACTCGTCACACATTCAGGGGGCTGTGAAATGAAGCACCCACTCACCCTTCTCGAAAGAAAGTATTTACAGGGTCACCCTGGTGCTAAGACAGGAACCACGACGTGGAGGAAGCAGGGCCTGGGAGACGGGACACATGAGCCACGAAACGGGGGAGGCCGATCGTCACAGGGAACGCGGCCCTGGGCAGGCCTACCTCCGGTGAGACAGATAAAACACAGTGACCTGAC